AGATATGCAAGAAGAACCATGAAACATTGGCTGAATTTGGACATAAGATTAAACAGATTTAGTGCTAAATTAATGAGATTCACCTCATGCCTTCCTGTCTCTCCTTTTCCCCACTGTTTTCTTCTTCCCAGTCAACCAATTGTTAACTGTGTTAGTCTTTTTTTTTTTTTTTAAGGAATAATTTGTTTTCAGTTTGGCTCATTTAGGCATGTGATGCCTTATCCTGGCTTGGGGAAATAATACATCAGCACTTAAACTAATCACAATTCCCATGTAGGACATTATTGACAAACTGCAGTTAGTTGCAAATAAAAGCAAATGTTTTCAGTCTCTTTTGTAGCCAAGAATGAAGAGAAAGAAGAGTAGACATGTGCACAAAATGTTAAAATATATCTCAGCACTGCCTTTTTGACTTGTTAGCTTGGGGAGTTCCTGCCCATCATAGTAGTGGATACCAGGTTGGAGAAAGATGATTGAGTATAATGTTCAAACTTGGACATCTGTAAACCACAAATGGCATTTTTCTCATACATGTAGAAGCAAAATACTTTTGCTTTAATGGTTGAAAAATAACTATTACAGTAACTAATCATGAATTGTTGATTATTCTAATGCAGTAATTTTCAACCTTTTCTTTTTCATAAAAACCTAGTGGTGTCCCAGCAGTGTTTGTTTATTTGTTTTGGTGACAAACAACTCTTCCAAGCATACTAAGAATAACCAAATCGAAATGACTTTGTTCCCAAAATGCCTTCTTTCTCCTTCTTCTTTCTGGTATGATCAGAGGAAGAATGGCACACTGCTTTAGAGAACCCTTTATTTACGTGAGATATTGATGATCCTCTTTAGCCTAACTGCTGCTTTGTTTGAAATATGCATTCATGGAGGTAATTACCTATAGCTAAACATATTTAATAAAGAAACTTGAAATGAGCACCACAGAATAGTCACCATACATCTCTGAAAGTTGCAGGTATCCTTCGGTTTTTCAACTTATCATTTGATATAGTGCCTTAAAGACAGACTGTTTCAAAACCATTTTTTTTTTCCTTAGTGGACATTTTTTTCAATCTGCTCATCTCAAAGTAGTTTAGACTCTTTGCATTTAGAGACTTCCAAAACAGTCAAAGGAAAAAGAAAGTGAGGTGGGGAAAAAAACTTATTTTCTTTGACATGCTTGATGCCACTTGTGTATAATTAAATTGTTCTGCTTTTTATAGTATTTAATGTTGAGAAAAATCTCTCAGTCTGATATACTGGGGCACCACCTTAGATTAGCAAGAAGTGTTAAAGATAAATTCAAAACAGAACTTTTAAGTTTAAAACAGAATTACACACATACACGCACACACACACACACACATAGAGGTACTATTTGGACCAAGTGATTTACAATGTTCAATCAGCTCAATCTAAAATTTTAACTGTTCTATATATTAAAAAATCTATGTACCTTGGGATTTTACTATCATACCTTGTGTAAGTTTAAAATATTTTAAAACAAGTATAGGAAAATATTGTATTTGGATGCCTATATGTCATGAGGATCACTTAATACATCATTGTTCAAAATTTATAAATACATCAGAACCTTTATTACTATACATTACACATGATCTTAGGCAAGAGGCATTTTATTACAGATAAAATGCAGAATCATCCTAGTGTGGAGATGGGGGGAGGACAGATTTTTGCAAGTGATTCACTTTTCAGTATAAAATGGGAATTGTCTCTTTGAAAAAGATTTGTTATGGGGAAACTAGTATTTGGGGAAGAGTTGGTCAAATATAAAATTATCAAATTCAAACTTCCCAAATCAATAGGAAGCAGAAGGAATATTTACACTTATTAGTTTTCTGATCAAAATATGTATCAGAACATAAGCATTAAGGGACAATATATATAAAAACGTGCATATTAGTAAAAAGGGGTATAGAAAGGTATATAGATGTTCATGCAAAGAGATGCATTTTCATGCAGTAAAACTTAAAACTGGAAAATGAAGAATTGATAGATACATAAATTGATACATTCATTGAGTCCTAGAAGAAGAAGAATATTCAGAACAGAATTTCACCTGATTGAATTCCAGGTTTTTCAGATCTCTCAACAATTTCAATAATAAGAACTTTCTTTAGCATTGCTTACATAAAATTCAACTTCCTAGAATCCCATGCGACTCGATATAAACAGCCTGGCACAAACATCTTCTGACCAGAATAATAAAATATTTAGAGCATGCCCACCATATCCAAACTGGTGGATAGGCAGATATTCTCAGGGAAAGGTGGACCTGTGCTACACAGAGCCTCAAAGGTGATAATCAGTAAAGGTGCACTTTGAATTGCACCTGGAAGGAAACTGAAAGCCAGTGCAGCTCACACAGGGATGGTGTAATACATGAAAATTAAGGGGCACCCAAAACTGCAAATGCTGCTTCATTCTTGACCAATTGTAATTTCCAGATGGCCTTCAAGGGCAGTCCCATATAGAGCACAGTAATCCAAGGAATGTGTGCAAGTGGCTTATGACATGAATCTGTGCATTGTGCACCAGCTCTGTCTGGGGAAGTGCTACCTCTTTGAGTGTCAAAAATCACACCTCTCTGGATCCAGGGGGTAAAAACCCAAAGCTACTCCATCTTGCTAGGGTTGAGTTAGAGGCAGTTCCTCCCCATGCAGATCTTCACAGTACCCAGGCACTGGGTCAGCACCTGAACAGCACTGCCTGTCCAGCCAGGGGTGGAGATCAGCATACTGATGATATCATACCACATGCCGCTGGATAACCTCACCCAATAGTTTCATGTAGATGATAAAGAAGCAGTGAGAGACCTGAGCCCTGTGGCAACCCCAGACAAGAGGGACCTAGGGTTGGACCTCTCACTCCCACACACCAATGCCCACTGGAACCGGCCACAGAGGGAGGAGGAGAATCACTGCAAAACAGTGTCCCCCACTTCCAAGCCTGAAGCTGGTTCAGAAGGAGACATGGTCAATATATTGAAAACTCTAGAGATCCAGGAAAACCAGGACAGTTGCAGCATGCCCATTATGAGCCCTCCAGAGGTCATCCACAACCATGACTAAGGCTGTTTCAGTACTGGAACTAGGCCTGAAACCAGACCAAAAAGGATCCAAATAATCTACTTCATCCAGGTCCCGCTGAAGCTGAGTGTCTAACACCCTGGGGACTGGATGAAAGTTCCTGTCAAGGGCCAAGGAGGCAGGCAGCCTCTTTCAAGGCAGGCAGCACCAATTTGCTTAGAGATCATTTCAATGTCATTTTTTTTAAAAAAAATTGCTTGTGTACTGTTTGCTTCAAAATAAGAATTTAATCTGTTTTTAAAGTCTGGTAAATATAAGGGGATCAAAGAGGCCATCTATTCACCCATATTGTACAGACAAAAGCCTCTTCAAGGATGGATGGATCTATTAATTTTGTTTTCTAGAAAAATTCCATTGCTTTCAAGCACAGCTTTGCCTCATTCTGTTGTTATATTCATTTTAAATATTCCACAGTTTTGTGCTTATACTATAATGCTTACAAGTTACAAAAATAAGTGCAATAGTGCTCTCTCTCTCTCTTTCATTGTACTTCCTTTTGGAAGCATTTGTATGGGAAGTGTGGATAGTTCATATTAAATATCAACCAATGTTCTCTCTCTTTCCTTTTAGAAAGGGAGAAGGAAGGAAGGAAGGAAAGGGAGGGAGGGAGGGAG